CCCAACAGAGAAAGGGTAACACGTGTACAGGTTGCATTTCGTGTTTGCTATCAAGTTTTCGGTGGTTTATGCATTATAGATGGATAGCGGCGACGCAGTTCCAAGCGACTGATGCACGACGCGCCTTTCCTTGCTTCGATGAACCAGCTCTCAAGGCCAAATTTCAAATCAGCATTGCTAGGCCAACTAACATGACATCTATATCTAATATGCCGAGGAAGGGCGAACCGGAGCCGGCGTAAGTATATTGAATTATCTGAATTATCTGATTACCTTTTTTCTGTTGATTTGAAAAAAATAAAATTTTGAAAGTTGCATTCAAATAATTGAACAACCGCTGAGACGATTTCGCTCAAAATTAAATTAGAACCCAATTATGTGAAAACGTATCGATTATGCTAAATTTCCATTACATACACACGCACAGACATGTCTTCAAAAACGTTTCAGGATGACTCAAGAGACCATAAAACATGGATAAATCATCGAAATTTAACAGTTCATTTTCAGGGTCATTACAATAACTTCTTCCCCCTGGGTCGGAAAGTTGACAAAATTGAAAAATGATGAAGGGTGTTCATTCAGGGTCATATGTAGCAGAATCGTCTCATAATTCATCATAATTCTCAGTGCAAATTTTCATTTAAATCGACTCCTAACAGATTATCCCAATAGTTTTTACCGCTCTCCCAAAAAGAGTTGTGAATTTTGGCTTCAACCGTTTTAGCGCTTCGCTTTTGAATGATGACTCTCAATAGGATTCATTTTCAAGATAAAGACAAATAAATTCTTTCAAAACCTTCAAGTAACTAAAGTAATTCAATCAACTAACGTAAACAACAGCGAACACTTCAACTACTGAATTAATACATTCCTATCAGAATCTTTGATTGAAATCAGACCTCATTCACCAAAACAATTACCCCTAAACCATTTCTCTAATTTCTAGCAAGGAAATGCCAACATACGTCTGGGACCACTACGAGCGTTCCGTCCCGATGTCAACCTATCTAGTTGCATTTATCGTCTCCGACTTTGAAGTCCTCAAGTCTCCAAACAGCAAGTTCGGCGTTTGGGCGCGTCAAGAAGCAATTAACCAGTCTCGCTACTGTCTAGACATTGGCCCTCGAATTCTAAAGTACTACGAGGACTACTTTCAGATTAAATTTCCGCTGCCGAAGATCGACATGGTGGCACTGCCCGACTTTTCCGCCGGTGCTATGGAGAATTGGGGCTTAATAACCTACCGTGAAACTGCCCTACTCTTTCAAGAGGGTGTCTCAACAAAGAGCAGCCAGCAACGTGTTGCCACTGTAGTTGCTCATGAATTAGCCCACCAGTGGTTCGGTAACTTGGTAACCCCAAGTTGGTGGACTGACCTCTGGTTGAACGAGGGCTTTGCAAGTTATGTGGAATACATTGGTATGGATTCGGTGGAGCCTGAATGGAAAGTTCTCGACCAGTTCATCATTCACGAGTTACAGAATGTTTTCACCCTCGATGCTCTCGCCTCGTCCCACCCCATCTCCATCGAAGTGGGCCATCCCGATGAGATAGGTGAGATTTTCGACAGAATCTCGTACGGAAAGGGTGCATCGATAATTCGTATGATGGATCATTTTTTAACGACCAAAGTATTTAAACAGGGATTGACGAATTATCTGAATGCCAAAGCGTATCAAAGCGCTGAACAGAATGATCTGTGGGAGGCATTGACTAAACAAGCGCACGCAGACAAAGTTCTGCCGGATGACGTTACCATTAAGCAGATTATGGACACATGGACGCTACAAACTGGTTTCCCAGTGGTTACAATAATCAGGAATTACAAAACAGGTGCTGCGCTTCTCTCGCAGGATCGTTTTCTGATTCAGAATAATACAGCAGATGTCCCTGGATTTGACGCATTGTGGTGGGTGCCAATAACTTACACAACGGAAGCCATGAAAAACTTCGAGAAGACTCAGCCGACCCATTGGATGAGAGCCGAGAAGTCTCTGACTCTTAACGATCTAGGAGCCGCTTCTCATCAATGGGTCATCTTCAATGTTCAGGAGACTGGCTATTACAGAGTTAATTATGATAAGACGAATTGGCAGATGATTATAAAGTACTTGAATTCCGAAAACTTCAAAGACATTCCCACAATAAATCGAGGCCAACTGGTTGATGATGCCTTGAACTTGGCACGTGCTGGCAGATTGGATTACACAACGGCCTTGGACGTGACTTCGTACCTCGCAAATGAGACGGAATATGTACCCTGGAAATCGGCGTTAACAGCGATGAGCTACTTGGATAATATACTCACAAAGTATCAAGGCTATGATCGTTTCAGGGTTTATGTTCTCAAACTTCTTGACAATGTTTATCGTGAAATTGGATTCAAGGACAGTCCGGGGGATCCTCAACTAACTGTATTTGCACGTATTGAAATTCTCACTTGGGCATGCACATTTGGTCACGACGATTGCGTTAGAAATGCCATTGCACAATTCCAAAGCTGGCGTAATTCACCGAGCCCAGACACCGACAATCCCATTTCACCAAACTTGAAGATCGTTGTTTACTGCACAGCTATTCGCACGGGGGGACAAGCGGAATGGGATTTCGCGTGGGAGAGATATCTCAAGACAAATGTTGGCACGGAGAAGGATCTCTTGTTGTATGCACTTGGTTGTACACGAGAACCGTGGATCTTGAGTCGTTATCTTGAATGGGCAACAACTGAGAATAGCGGAATTAGGAAACAAGATACACCACGTGTTTTTGCTGTTGTTGCTGGTAATCCTATTGGGCAACCCCTTGTTTTTAGTTTCCTACGGAATTACTGGGCGAAACTCAGGAAATAGTGAGTTTTGAATTTTTTAGTTTGTCAACATGTTTTGTTTGAATTCTTGATTTAATGACTAACTTTGTGTTTCAGCACTGGCGCTTCACTTCTAGCTATTAATAGCATCGTCAAAGCGGCGACCAAGAAAATTAGTACGAAATATGAACTTAAAGACGTGAGTATTTTTTCCATTTTGCATTTTCCTTCTTTGTCAGCTAGCGATCAGGTTTTTGGAATCAATGTCTTTTGATTTTTCCACAGAACTTCTTGGGAATAAACTTTCCAACTTTTTTTTCTGTATTTCATTTCATTTTTCATTACAGAATGCAATTTGAAGAAATTGAAAAATTCATGCACAACAATTTCATCAACAAAATAACAACTGAATAACTTGTATGCACGAATCAATATATATTGAGTTCTATCAATCAACTATCTATTAAAAATTACACGGAAAAGTTTTACAACTTTCAATTGGCGTCGGGAAAAAAAACAATTTGTATTTTTAACAAAATTCTATTTCTTTTCGAATGCATAAGAGTTTCTATTCAATTTTTTATATGTGCTAATGCTAATATATCTATTGTTTTTCAATTCTTTTAGACAATTTTTAAGCCCGCCAATCAAGAGAATCTCTGTAGCATTGAATATATACGTAATTTTCTCGTTTATTTTAAATTCCAGTTGCTGGAATTTGCCCAAGAGCACAGTGAGGAATTGGGGAGTGCAACACGAGCTGTTCAACAATCAGTAGAGCATGCCGAAGCCAACATCAGATGGTTAGATCGTAATTACATGACGATCAGAGACTGGCTCCTCAAAAATACAGCGTGAATGAACGTGTTAATTAATAACTGAATTGAGCCATCAAATTTTTATCGAACGAAAGGACAAACAAATAATTGATAAGAATACTAAAGTCGAGCGTGTCTTGTTTGCTTGACGTCTGATAGGTATTAATGAGGAATCACTGATATGCTGGTGTCTAATGCTCGTAAAAGATCAAATTGAATGTTTTTCCTTTTGTATCTACTTGTAAATATCATGTTAAGAGCATTCTAGATGTAAGTATTTAAATTGTTGTCAGACCTGGCTGATGTCTCTGACTTGTTCGAGTATGATCTCTGAACTTTCAATTTTAATGTTTTTAAAATCAATCTAATTTTTGAAAAATATTTTTGAATGTCATGTTGATAATGTCGTCTGAATACCGCACAATACTGGATTTTTATAAAATGAAGAGTTATTATTATTGATATTTTACTCTGTTCTACGGATTCTGCAGAATTGGAAATTTTTTATGTCCATTTGCCAACTCGAAATTACTCTAATTTGTACAATACTCATTCACTACATTCGAAGGACCGAAGACCATGTTATTTTATATATTTTTTTCATACAACGATATCCTAAGAGATTTTGATCTTCCAGTAATAAAATTGTGTTAATTTCTCAAAAAATGATTATTTCTTTATTCATAACTATGGGACTGGCGCATCCTGCTCGCTCCGCTCGCCAAACTCCATATAACCCTCATTTGACCACCCTAAAGCCCCATATGACCCCCATGACCCTTATTTCGACCCTTAATTTTGGAGTCTACTTCGAGTACCAAATTTTCGTCACCAGAAGTCGACTCGGATTTTCATAGTCTAGAGATAGAGGAATTCATTATGCTCTATTATTACCCTTTTTTTACAGTACCTACAAATATTCATAGGGGAACGAAAAAAAGGAAGTTGCCACCAGGGCGACAACTGAACCAACAATCCCTTCTCCCCCGTCCAAGGAGTTTGCATGCCTCTTGCCATGTCCGTAGTATTTTTTATTCTTCCGGAAGTGTTATAACAGGTTGATTTTCAACAGTAATTGGATAAGTCCCTTGGGGATAGAGAACTACTCCCAATTCTTCTTCACTTCATTCAACGATGCTTTCAGTGAACTCAAGATATGCTTAAGTTCACCTGACCTCGCATTAGTGAACTTCTCTAGCCTTTTTATTCTCTCTTGTAATCAGATTTTTACATGTGTAGACGATTCCCTAAATAATGTTCAAGATAATTGGAATATAAACAATTTCAATTCATATATAACACTTTATTTATCAACTTCGAAGAACCATAAAGAATATTATAATAATATTCAAAGAGATGTTGATCTTCCAGTAACAAATTTTTTTTATGTCTAAGAAAAATAATTCGTTCTTTACTTATAAGTACTTACTATGCTCCATCATTACCTCTCCTCTTACGGCATTTACGACAAGTCATGAGGCAAAGGAAAAATAAGGAAGTTGCCACAACTGCGGCAACTGCACCAACTACCACCCCTACAATAGGTTGCATGCCACTTGTAATGTCCGTATCATTTTCATCCACTTTTTCCGGAAGTGTTATAACAGGTGGATTCTTTAACCAGAATTGAATAAGTCCCTTGTGAATCGAGAACCACTCCCAATTTTTCTTCGCTTCATTCAGCGATGCTTTGAGTGAACTCAAGATATGCTTAAGTTCACCTGACTTCGCATTAATGAACTTCTCCAGCCTATCTATTCCCTCTTGCGTGGAAATTCGCAATGCAACTGCGTTAAATAGATTAGTTACAGTTCCCCAACCACCATATCCCTTACGAATGGCATCATAATTGCTGATGAGATATTCGAGAGTTGCATTGACTCCGTAACTATCAGCTGAGTATACGGATGAGTACACTGTATAAATATTTTGATCACGTACTGCACTATTTTCCGATAAAGCAGCTTTGAAGTATTCATCGAGTGCTTTTGGATCTCTGGTGCATCCCAGTGCTTGTAAAATCGTGACCTTCTCAGCCTCCAAATTAGTGCTAAGATACTGCTTCCAGAGGAACTCCCAATCCTCGTAATTACCCCATTTCAGAGCCGTGCAGTAAACAGCCTTCTTGGCATTTACGGGGATTGTTTCATTCGAATCTTTTTTCCAAAGGTGGAAAAGACGTTTCGATGTGGCAACACATTTTGTGTGATTGTACTTGCAGGCGGCGTGCAATATCAACTCTCTATTCAGCTTATCCTGCATTCCCTCACCATTGATTTCCGAAAATCCAAGTTTCTTATACGAGAGCTCTAGGAGACTCAACACGTATTTCTTGAAAAGTCCATCAATTTCATGTCCCCCAAAACGCTCAGACAGGAATGCGATACCACTGAAGAATGCTTCCCAGGGTGAGTTATGCACTTCGTTCATGAGGTAGAGAGTACTTTTCAATGCAGTGTCGTAGTCGGTGGCATCTGCCCGGGCTAGATTCAGGAGATCATTGATAATCTGGCCTCTATTTATTGCGTGAATTCCACCGAAATTTTTGGAATGCAATGCTATGAATATACGTGACCAATTATCGGGATCGTAATTAACTCGGTAGAAACCTTTTTGTTCGACGTTGATGAGGAACCACTCGTCTGCGAGATCCGGTAGCGATATTGTTTTGTTCTTTTCATTGAACCAAAATATAGGGTGTCCGTTATTGTGTACTCCGCGTTTGGAAGTTTGGAGGGTGATGGGGATCCACCAGGTTTGAGCGGTATTGGCATCACCTTTTTTTAGCAAGAACCGTCTCTGCAAAAATACGTTTTTATTTTAGTAAATCATGAATATAACCAGGGCCAACAAATCTAATTGGAATTTATGGTAAAAACAATAAGTTTTTACAATGTCTTCGTGAAAAATTTTCAGCAGATTATATGATGAACGAGAGATGGACAACGTATGCGGAATTTTAAGAGAAAAGGCGGATATAAATATAGGCTATTGGAAATTTGGGAGCTTCGGTATATATTTTACGTATTTTTCTAAAGGGAACATTCAAATATTACGTCACGTGATTAGAGGTGGAGAACTTTGCTTAACTTATATCACACAATATTTTTTTTGAAACACGTGCTTGGAAAAGTGATTTTTCGTTTATGGGATTCATTCCTGTCTCACAGTTTGAAAGATGGCGCTGGCATTACATTTTCAACCAATGCGGTGTCGTTATTCCCGTAATTACGTGTGTAGCTGAAACCATCGGTCTAGTCGTCTCAACTGAATTACATCAGTCATACGGTAGTCATCACGCGTTAGTCTTCTGCTTTTAGTTATGAATGATCTGAGTATTTTACGGGCTAGAAGTGTATTTTGTGCTTGCATGTACGAAAAAATTACATAGAAAAACTATTCTCATTGTTGTAACAGTTGATAAAGAAAATTGACTGAATATATTGGTTAGTCCCCCGGAGATATTATGTATGTAAATCATGAGGATATTTCATTGGTTGAAATTGCTCATGTTGAGAGGTTCCTGATTGGCCGACGCAATGCAGGGAGGGCGAAAGTTAGAGGTGGGGATAAGTGGGCGGTGGGAGGAGTGGGGGTAAGCGGGTAGGGGGAGGAGTGGGGGTGCGGGTATAAAGGGCCCGTCCCCGGTAGCGGCGATCATTATTCAGCTTCCTCCCGTAGTAGCAACATGGAATTCTTTGGCAAGCTCATGCGCCTTTTTGGTGTTGGCAAACCTGAAGTGAATCCTATTGCACTTCTGCCGGTAGAAGTAACACAATCTATTTTCAGAATGCTGGATCCTCATTCACTTCTGAACGCGGCTCGAGTATCCCGGGGATGGCTCCACGTCTGTCGAGGTGACTCTCGCTTGAGAGCCACCGCCAGGCGCTATCTCAGAAAGGAGAAAAGGCGAGCGTATGACCTTGATAGCAAACGACGAGTAGCTATAACTAGGTCGACTGTTATACATGCGGAAGTAGTCGTAAGACCTGCTCTGAGACCTTCCGCTGTACCGGCTCCAGTTGTTTTCACTTTTGGACCTTCTGGCGTCTCCTCGGGGCGACCGAGGATTCAAAGTGCTGGACGAAACTCCGGTGGGCGTCGATCAAGAAACGGGACGGAGAAGAGCATGCTTGGGTTTAGGTGAATATGTAGCAGAATAGTTAGGAATATTTAGGATTAGGTGACAAATGCTGGCCAGCAATGATAATAAATCGCTTAGTTATAAGGTGACAACTTTTATAAATGTAATTTAAAATGTTAATAAAACCAAATTCTAATAAATAAATGATTAACTGCTTTTAAAAAAAACGCCTTAAATAATTTTTTCAACCTCTGGTAGCAACTCACAAGTATTAAGATTTAGTTTTGAAAATTGAATTTTAACACGGTCAACGATTACTCTTTTTATTCAGTTATTCGATATCTCACTATTCCTATTCATCTGTGGGTGCATTAATCCTCGACGAATAGAGAAATGAAAATTTCGCCTCTTTTCTGTTCCATTTTCTGGTAAGGATCCAATAGAAGACAATCAAAAGATTTCTATCTTCCTACATGAATTATTCTCTCCAGAGTTATTCTACGTAAATGGTCGGGCTTAAATTTTCCGAGTTGTTTGCGCTGTTCTTCTATTCTATTCTCATTACAAAATCCAAAGAAAAAAACGCGAAAAATTCATGTTCACGAATTCGCATAGGAATAACCGCAACAGAATAAGTTGTGCAGAAAAGTCAACATTTACTGACAGTCTATCGAATGTCTGTAAAAAATTTCACGCCACAATTATATAATTATTGATAAAAATCAGCAAGAAACGACTGAAATTGCGAATATAATTCTGATAGAATCTCCATAGAAATTCAATAAAATTTCGATGAATTTCAAATAGAAGGCCAATAGTGTTTAATAAGATAGACTTTATAAAAAAAAACAAGCTTTATTTTGGGGCGTATGATCTCAAACTGAGACTTTCCGAAGTCTCACATCAAAACTTTTGAAAGTCTCAAATCAAGAATTTCGAAACTCCCAACTTAAGAGTTACAGGCTTCAAGTTAAAAACCTTTGAAAATCTTATTTCAGGAGCTTTGAATCGTAACATATGGTTTTATTTTTTTGGGTGTTTTTGAATTAAATTCATCATAAATTGTAATTATGCAATCTAAAATCCATGTATTCATGAACTTGAGACTTACCTGTTCCACAGTGAGGTTTCCATTAACTAATCTAGCATGAACTATGGGATACCCTGCTTGACTAGCCCAAGAATTCATTAAAATAGCAACAGGCTGATCAACGTTACTCAGTCCGCCATGCTCATTAGTACTTCTTTGAAGTGCGGTCCATAATTTATTTGGTGTACCCGTGCCATATTTATTTTGGTCCAAGTAATAATGTAAACCATTTTTGAAAATGCTCTCCCCGAAGGCTTGATGCATCATGTGAATAACACTGGCAGCTGATAAACGGAATCTTCAGTGATTACTGATTGCAATCTCTTCATTATTATCAATGTAATTTTGGTAATTGTGGTATTGACTTACACTTGCTGTAGGCGATGGAACCGTAGCCTTCTCCCTCGTCGAATGGGGTCTCCATTTTGTTGTTCATAGGTCGCATTGTCGGGAATGAATCATCTAATAATGCCCTCTGCAACTCGTGGGTTATGAATTGCTCCATCATATTCCAATTTGGTTCACTCTGTAATAGAGGTAGAAATTTTATGCTTCTAATCATAATTAAAAAGTGTTCAGTCTCGAACGAAAATCAGGAATTATTTTCTACCGTCAAAATAAGTAGAGTTAGCGAAATTTGTCAAAATGACTTTTTAGAATAAAGATATCTGGAATAAAAGAAAATCGATGAATATTGTTCTTTGAATTTATAGTTCCAAAAGTATTCGTCAAAGCATATGCATAGAAAACCTCGATAAATACACTAGGAAATTCTATTGACGTTTCGACGGATTTTCATTTTGGTCAGTTGAAATTTTCTTAAAATACAATTAGTTTATTGTCAATTCCTACCACAAATACGGTAGGTAACTAGAAAATATTCAATAGATTTTAATAGTATTTTAATGGTACGAGACAACTAAATATAGAGAAGAAAGTATGAACTTTATGCTTATGGATTTCTATAGACAAAATACTGATAGAATTAATTGAAAGAGAAATCGAAATCTATTGATTTTCTTTTATTACATATTTTCCATCAATATTTCAATAATACAAAATTCTATCAACAGTTCTGATAAGATTGCAATGAAAAGTTGATAGATTTTCAGATATGAAATTATTTCTTTAATGTCATCACAGAACCGAAATTATGCAGATACTAACAGCGTCTATCGTGGCCCATTCAAAATATTGAGCGAATCCCTCGTTCAGCCAAATGTAGGACCACCAATCGCACGTCACCAGATTCCCAAACCACATGTGGGTTAATTCATGGCTCACTATGATACTCAAATACCTCGTGAAGTAAGTTCTTGTCACTGCGAAGTCAATAAGAAGGCCATATTCCCTATTGAATCAATCCAAACATTAATTGGGGACCTTTCAATTCTATTTTTCAATCAAGACGAGAGGGAACAATTGGGAAATTGCTTTTGTCACAACATAGTCAATAGCCAATAGCATAGTCATAGTTTTGTTTTCATAGTCATTTTTGTAAATACATTAGCAATTTGCTTCTGAATTGCGATGAGAGGAGAAGAAGGAGTTGCTTAAGTTGTGGTATCACACGATATTATGTTTTCCTTTTCAAACGAGGAAATCGCAAATGCAATTTCGTTCGCGTCCCCTTTATCTTATAGAAAAAAACACGTTTCAGCAATTCTTCAAACTATTCCAAAGGTTCATGAAGAGGGATTTCAGAATGCTGTGAGGGTAAGAATTTAATAAGTTACGAAGTGTTCAAAGAGTATCGCATAAAGATTGAATTGTTCCATTAATTATTTGTCTTCTAATTATTCTTGTTTTTTGAATTGGATTTTATGAAAAAAAATAACAAATTCTATAACAGGGGGGAGGCTCGGGGATTTTGTGATGTAATATACAAGGGTGAGGAGCTTGAGACTGAGAGAGAGAAAGGGTTTGCAAATTCAAAAAATGCGTGACGTAATATTTGAATGGCCTTGTACCGAAACGTTACGAGTCCCCAATTTTCCATTGCTCCACTGTTGAAATCTGGCACCGCCACGAGATCCATTTTTCCGATGGGATAGTCCACTCCAGTGTAATTTTTCAAAAACTCTAGAGATTTTTGTCCCACCTCCAGTGCATAAGATTTATCCTGAATTGCGTTTGGCCTCGCCCAGACGGTGAAGTTATTATTTTCATTCTTCACTGATTTGAAATCCGAGACGACGAATGCAACAAGATAAGTAGACATTGGCACGGATTCTTTATAGGTATCCCATGATCTATTTTGTTTTCTAAATTTAAAAAATGGGGAAGGAATTAAAATAAACGAAAATAAAATTCTGTAGCGAAATGCAAAAACCAAATAACTCGAGTTAAACTGGGTTTTTGATGAATATCTTCAAATCCCGAGGGAAATAAACCGACTTTCATGGAAAGCTGTTCAGTGGAGCGAAGTAAGAGCTACGAAAAAGCTTTCTAGGAGAATCTCATCATTTCCCTTCGATTTCAAGATATTCTGCTGGAAATGATCCTGAATTTTTCAGGCGAAAATGTTGAACAGGAAAGAGAAATTTTGAGATGAAATTATTCCACAATTTTATTATGGAATTTTGTATTTGCGTATTGGCCTTTCAGAACTTATTATGAATAGATGAATATACAAGGCAATACTTCTTGCAAAAATTGCAATATTATTTTTATTTTTAACTTCGTTCATTGCAAGTTCCTGTAAAAACTAGCAAGTGAATATAGAGTTACGGACTCTACCGGTGATTTCTCCAAAAAATTCCGTTGAAATTATGAAAGTTTGCCGTGCAAGTTTACAAGTAACTGATAAAACAAGTCGATAGATGCCGATTTTACCACATGAATTAGTCCATTGAGATATTCTCTCAACAAAATTTAGGGCATAAATTTTTGACACAGTAGTTTTTTTCAGTTCTTATCACAAAATTTCATGGTCAGAAATTTTGTGACGAAAAAAACCTCAATAGAATAGTTTATATAGAAAAATCAACACTGACTGCCTTGTTTTTTAATAAATATCTATTGAATAATGCACGGCGTAATATTCAATAGTATCTTGATAGAAATTCTATGGAAATCCAATAGGTGTTCTGATACCAACAATACCATTCATTTTTTCTTATACGTATTTAACTTTAAATATGGAATTGTTAATAGACTTATTAAATGTCTTTTTTTTAATCATTATTTTACATCGCTCGGATTTAGTTTTGATTATACTGCCGAATATTTCGATAACAAATATTTTGAATAAAAAAGTTCAAATAACATGAAAAACGACGGATTCATCAACGGGACACTTTAAAATTTCAGCAGAGTCGCCCTTAAATTGTTAGATGTCACCATTCTACGCGCCCGAATGTTGAACGAGAGACCCCGCGCATGTGAACCTACGAACTTACTGCACCAGTCTAACGGGCTAACTTATTGAATTTCGTACTCTAATTTGCATCAGAATTCTGAAAACTCCTCAAATACTGCAAGTTTACAAAAATTCAATGGTGATATTCACCCAATTTCTCTATCTCCAGTTTTGATCACCAGCAGAATCGTAGAAATCAAATATACTCACTCAGATGCCACTGACTTATCCAACGGCATATTGCTCAACGTGCTATACTCATTCCGCCTCTCAATATTAATCGTAAATGTCGCTTTGAACGACGGCTCATCAAAGCATGGAAACGCCTGTCTCGCACCCACTTTCTGGAACTGTGTGGAAGCCAACCACCTACAAAGATAAACCGTTCAAAGCTCCCTTACGAAAACTCTTTCCCAAACTCACCGTTTATGCCCCAAGCCGTCCCAGTACCAACTTCGATAGAATCCCATCATATTATCATTCAATACTCCTGAGTACTTCATATTTACCCGGAGAGACGACCCAACGTTGCAAGTCTTCTTCAAGTAAATCGTAAATTTGTGCGTTACAGAGTTCCACTTCCTGAGATAATATTCCCGAGTCTCAGCCGGGTTGACATAGACTTTGACATCCCTCACATTCAATCCATTTGTATGCAGAACAATGATCGAAGTGCTGCGTTGAACGTTCATGGTAATCTGAACTTCCCCATCAAATGTGAAATTACGTTCTTCGAAATAGGGCTCAATTGATACATTATAATTAGTCGGCACCATCGTGGTTGGAAGACGATAGTCGTTGGTGTCGTAGCGCTCTCCCAACCACGCGAAAATTTCGGGGCTTCGATCGTCATACCATTGGAGCTCCTCCCTTGCACGTTTCAATGAAGACCTCAACGAGCTTTCAATCTCCGGAATTTTTGCCCCAAATTCATTCACAAACTTCTCGAACTTCGCGACAAGTTCTCCCGTGGAAAATTGGGAGGAAACTCCACTTAAAATACTTTCAATAGTGCTGTAACTGCCATAGTACTTGTACATATCGACGTAATGTTCCCTAATGAAATCTAATGTGAAAATGGCTCCAACATGTCCCGAGCCGTAGACCCCAGAGAAAACACTGGCGCTGTCTTGGAATCGAATGCCCGAGTCTTCAGTTATTGCGGCCATCAATAGTTTTTTCAATAATACTTTATCCTCGGAGCACCCGAGTGCACCGAGTATCAATACTTTTTCAGTGGCAAGTGGCGCAGTGTTATATTTATCCCACAGGAAATTCCAGTCTTCGGTCGTTCCATGTTTGATGGCGGTGCAATAAATTGTATTGCGGAGATTAACAGGGACCAATTCTTTTCCATTAGCTCTCCAGTTAGCGAACAGCTTTGTAGAATTACTGATACAGTCTTTCAGGTCGAATGCACAGGCCCAATTTATCACGTATCTTCTCAATAATTTGTTGTAATGCGTGTCGGGTTTTGGCTCATTGAAGCTTAGTTTTTCGTAGATGGGGGATAGAATTTTTTGAATGTGTTTTTTGTACCAACTGTTGATTTCACGACCGGCGAATGTTTTGGTGAGATAGGAGAGACCGTTGAAGGCTGCTCTCCAGGGAATGTAATTGGTTTCCTGCGTGAGATATTCGGTGGCTGATAAGGCAGTGACGTAATTTGTGTAGCCGGCTCGGGCAAGATTGAGGAGATCATCGATTATGGAGGCTCTATTTATTTCGGGAATTTGGTCGTATTGTTTGTTGAGGGCTTCGATTATTCGGGTCCAGGAGACATTATCATAATTTACTCTGTAATATCCTGGAAAGATATATTCATACGGGTTTATATGCATGGAAAACGTCATTGGAAAAACCGATTAGAAAGCTATTGATGTTCTTTGAAAACGCTATTTTTTAAAAGTGGATACGTCTATGGTTTCATTATAAGGAATCATTTTGGGTGAATGTTTTTCTGCCGCATCGCCATCTGTCCAAATTATAGAAAATTCACCGTTTTTTTTTTAAATTCCAAAAAGTTATCCAGTTTTCTAAGAAATCCGTGAAAATTCAATAGTTTTCTAGAAAAATCAAGAATATTTTCGTAGTTTTTCCGAAACAAACAGCAGCAATCAACGTAAAAACTTCGGCAAAAATCTTATGCCTTGTGAAGAATTGTAGACATTTAGGGAGTTTTTGAACGATACAAGAAGAAGTCCTGTCTCTAAAAGCAGAACGTTTCGTGGAGTTCCCAATAGAATTTTTCCAATTGAATTTTCTAGTGAATGCGGTATAGATTTTCCGTTCAATGTTTTCATACACGGAAAAAAAATGCTCGAATGGGGTGTATAATTTTCTGGAATCAGGAATTCCACGCAATAATCACGAGAATCACTCAGGAAAGTATTTTCATACCTTCTTTCTCCGCGGATTCACCTTTTCGGCTGGCAATTAGAGGTCTGGCCAATTATTAGGGCGCTTCAAGGCAATTGGTCGTATTTTGAGACATTCTTTCGGAATTTTTGAATTATTATTGCCACCAGTAACCTTTCAAACAGTTTGAAGCCGCTGGGAGGCCATTGCCCTCCTCACTCAAGTGGAGGTTTGTGAGACCCCCACATACACTTTATTACAGTTTAATTGTGTCACTTTTTTCTTTAAATTTCCTTCCCTTTTTCCTCCTCTCTTTGAGTCATCAACTCAATATCGACTGAGAATCCATTTCAAAATTACATATATATCGGATTCTGGAATATTATTCCGGAATATTGAAGAAAGAAATGTAGCGAAGTTACTTCTATTTTATTTCAGATCAATTCAATGTATTGCGTTCAAGCTTGGCTTAGCAACCGAATACCTTACTACGACAATTCGCGACAATTCGTAAAAATTCGTAATAATACGGGGATCCTCGATCGGATGATTAACACCGTTGTCGCGGGAGACACTCTCGTTCCAGTTCTCATGGTGTAAACCAAGTTACGTTTGCTGTGAATAAATCTTATTCGATATGGTATACGAATTCCGAGTGTTATACGTTACAAAACCCATCTATCCCTCACCGAACTCCCGAACTTTTCAATTACTTGATTATTCCCTTCGTATAGAGGTTCATAATTTTGAAAAATAGCATATAGCATCCTGCTTTCCATGTAATTTATAACTTAACACATCATATGGTTTTACCGAGTAGAATAGCCCTGGGGATAATACAGAATGGGGATATTATTCCGGAATGGAGAATAAAATATCCTGAATTCCGGAATACCATTCCGGATTCAGTAATATAACATTCTGGATTCCGGAATACAGATATTTCTGATTCCGGAATATTACATACCCGATTCAAGGATATAATTTTTTCCATGATACAGTTCATTTCTAGATTGATTGAAACGAGTTCATTCATCGACTACAGAGATCGATTCAGAGGAATGAATTATAATAATGAACTCACCAGCTTGTTGAACATTGAGAATTACCCAGTCACCAATACCATGCGGCAGCGGAACTATACGACGCGCTTCACTAAACCACAATTTAGGAGTAGTCGACGCAAAATCAGGACTTGATTTAGAAGTCCACGTTATCGGAATCGACCAGGTTTGATTGGTGGGAATTCTATCAGTATTCCTAAGCAGGAAACGTTCTTGAAACATTATTACATTGCTGGGATCAATGGTGACGGTCAGCACTGGGAATCCTGCTTGGTTCGTCCATGTTTCCATAATAGATTGCACAGTATCTTCCAACTCAATATTGCTTCTCTTCAAATTCTTTTGGAAGGCTGCGAAGAGATCTTCAGGTGTAGCACTCCCGTATGATCTGAAATTAATAAATTATCATCAATATTCATTTCTCTATTCACGATGTATCACGCATCGGCGAAAGTTGATGATCTTCAATGAAGACATGACTTCAATATTGATTTTCTCAATAAACTTATAGGTAACCTACCACTAACCTGTGAACAGCGACTAATACGACAGATGATATATCTGATCAATTTTCCATTCCATATCCACACTTCAGAAACTATTTTAAATCCGACGAATTCAATAACACGACAAATGAAATTCTGACTCAAGACACGAATAACAATAATAAAGGAGTGGTCACATACATACATATAGACATGACCCTAAAAAAATCAGTTCTTGACGTTTCATAGCATTCTAGATTATTTGCCATCAAAATTAGAAAATCGAAAAATCTCAAATATAAGGCTTCCATTCGTAAGCAAAAAGGAACCAAATACTTTGAACTGTACTTTAGAAAGTCTTCAAAACCCTGATACAAAAAATGTAAACTATCTAGAGAAGCTCTTGTCAGCGCAAATCGTATCAGAGTAAACCATTATCATCTTGTATCTCCTTTGCACACAATTGGTGGCATTAACGACCAGAGCTAGTCTTGTGGTGCGGAGTCTCAAAACTGATCATATTTTAGGGCATTCCCCGAATCATGATATCCAAAGAAACAAATTGTTACATCGACTGAGAAACTCCACTTATTCTCCTTCTTTTCCAACTAAGAAATTTGCGCATGTATCTGACCATATTTACAGAGAAGAAATATAAAAATACCTAATAGAATGTAAAATAAGTGTGTAAACGATCCCATTGTCAACTATAAACAAATTATGCAAATCTTTCGGAGGAAACGAACTTATATTTACTAATCAATTGATACAGTAACTGACCTGGCAATAAGGTAATCATGCAGAGAATTATAAAACACTTCATTTCCAAAAACTTTCTCCATCATCCTCAAAACACTAGCAGCTTTTCCATAAGAAATCGTATCGAACATCCCCGCAATCTCTGTTGGACTGTAAACATCATGGGACATAGGATGACTAGAGGCTAATCCATCAGTTGCAAAGGCCGAATGCACCTGTTCAACCACAAATTGCGATTCCAATCCCCAAGTTGGTTCAATCTACAACCAGATGAAAAACAGGATTATGCAATCAATTAATCAGCCTTACCTTTATTGATCTCAATATCTATCAAGAACTCGCCTTAGCCGTTGTGTGATACTGATAGTACCGTGCAAATCCTTCATTAAGCCACAGATACTTCCACCAATCCGGACTAACAAGATTACCAAACCACTGATGAGCTATTTCATGAGCAATTACATTGATAATCGCCTGCTTGGAGTTTATGGGTGAGTATTGATCATCATAAAGCATGTTGGATTCTCGGTAAGTGATGAGACCCCAATTTTCCATAGCACCAGAGCTAAAATCTGGCAGTGCAACCATGTCGAGCTTACTCAGTTGATAGGGAATCTTCAGAGATTTCTCGAAGAATTCTACAACTGGAGGCATCACTGTAGCTGCGTATTTTGCATGTTCTATCGCGTTCGGCCTAGCCCAAGCTTCATATCGTAAAACGACGTTAGTATTTTCAAAATCTGACACAACTAGAGCCAATAAATACGTTGACATTATGGGGGTTTCTTCGAAAGTGACCAACATTCGGTTACCACTGAAAATAATTTTTTTTTAATTGGATTTTAATCGTTCACGGCACCGGTATAGCCCTTGGGTGATCCTTCTACGAGTACACATGAGTGGTTCATCACCCCCATCAATTAGAAATACAACATTGGAGTGGTACTACTTTTGAGGAGCTTTCTATTTTTTTTTCTGTACAACTGTTGAACAATCGAAGGGTATTATTTACGCTAATATGTTAATGGTTGATTCACGCTTACGAAATCGTAAATTAATCTTAATAGAGCCTATTTAACGATTAGCTTATGCATAATTAACAAAAAAACATCGTATTTTGCGCTCGAAATGACTTTATTGTCCTTTGTTGTTAATTACGGATAAGTAAACATAAAATACGGAAAAATCACAGTAATTTACGAATTCCAAACCGTAAATTACGGTTATATAACCGCTATGTCGAGCAATTTTGAGTGTGATTTATTCTTCAACTTCGAGAGTAAAATACGCTTTAGAAAGCGCAAGAGACAACTTGTTAAGCGTAATTTACGTTTAGGTTTTTCTGTGTGCAAATCAAGAATGTTTAATTCCGGGGTTATTAATCCCGAATCAGAAATGTGCGTTCTCGTTTCGAAAATCTACATCCTCAAATGTAGAATATTAATATTTGTAGCAGAAATAGATAGAAAAATTTACAAATATTGAAATAGGCGATCCCACAAATGATTGGTATGGTTTTGTAACTTCAAATATTTACATTTTATTAAGATTATTTGTGAGGTCGTATCAACATTTGATAGACGTAGAAAGAATTATGCAATAAAAAAAATTTCATTGCATACGAAAAGTCAGTTTTCAAGATAATCGATTTTTTGACGAAATTTTGCGTTTCAGAAGAGGTAAAAAACAGTTCTGAGTTTACGAAAGGACATATTTTCAACCAAAATGAAATTCACTCCTAGGGTGGCATATGGCTCGGGCTGCAAACTCACATTTGCTAGAAAAGTTTTTTCGGCCTAATCCCGAAATACACTAATAGTTTGCGTTATATCTACAACTTAATGAATTGGGAGATTTCACACTTTCAGGATCTGATCACTCATCATCTCCACTTGAGGAATTCTTATCTCAATTGCAAGACGAACACTTCCATTATTAATTCGAGTGTATAGAAAATTGATCTCAAGTGTTGTGCGATGTGTGCAAGATTTTTACGTAATTAAAGTCCTAATGGAAAAATAATTCTAGATATAACGCAAAGTACATAAATTTATGGGAAGGACATCATCTTTAATTTTGATATAGCTTGAAAATTCTCTCGGGATAAGAGAATCTCATCCTGTTGGAAAACTTTTTCACTCGTCACGATTTCACGATTGTTAAAATTGTCAAGAAAATATTTACTTGGATCGAGTAAACCTTCTTTGTCAGAAGTAATGTTTTCTCTCAGTGTCCCCTGAAGCCAGGAGTGGACATATTCCTGATTCAAGAATATAATATTTTTGATTTGAGTATATTTTTATTCCGTGTCTGAAGAAAGTTACTGTGCAGGATGAATAACGCGAGGTGCATTTATATAGGAATTTCTACTTCTCTTTTATGGCTCTAGCTGCATTGACTACTTGGCCGTTATCCCTCTAGGGGACGTAACAGTAAATATAGGAATTTCAATCAAGAGGAAATGCGGTGGGATGATGAGTAACTCCCGCGTATCCGTAGAGGGTCAATTTTTATTCAGGCTGAGGCTTTGAAAAATTGTGAAATTTATTATACTCACTCGGCAACCTCGATTCTTTGTGGTGTATTGCTAAGAGCTTTATAACCTGCCGGTCTACTCACACTTAGTTGGAATGTTGCTTTCAGAGCGGGTTCATCGAAACACGGGAACATTTTCCTGGCGCCTACGGGTTCCAGATGAGTTGCTGCCAACCATCTGTAAAGGTATACTATACAGTTTCAAAAATGCAATTTTAACTTTGATGATATTTTTACTCATGCCCTTTTTCATTCATTCTATTCTGAGTATTCACGTGTAGAGGATGAACAATCAAAGTCAATAGAAGAATTTAACGAATTTTGTTTCATTTTTATAGGATGTCTATTAGAAATCCCCATCAGTACTCTGCGGTTATACACTGATAGAATGATTCATTTATTTCAAACGAGATTCGTTAACTATTAACGAATGATAAAGTTGAATATGACCACATGAATATTCGTTAATAGTTAACGAATGGTTCACTTGAATGGCGAAAGTCAAGTCAAACAAGACTCCTCAAATGTACATTCGTTAACTATTAACGAATGAACATTTGGTGGAACCGAATAGATCCTAACCTCCAACCAAAATCCATTCGTTAACAATAACTAATCCGTTCTATCAGTATAGTCGTTCTCGTTAAAATCGCGTTTCCCGTCATCTCATTTTTTTGTTATTAGAAGTCGTCAGGCAGCTGCGCTCTACTTACGGCCGTCATGACAAAAAATAATGTTCGTCGCATGGCCGAACTAGTATTTTTTGTGACACCAGCCTGAAAAGAGTACTTTTCGAAACCGCTTTCAAAATCGCTTAGCGCACGTGAAGCGATTGTCTTCTACACGGCGTACGTAAAATTCACGAGCGACTTAACGCACGCTCTTGACCTTTACGTACTCATGCCCAAAAAGAATCACTTTACCTCAATTACCGTTCGCAACAGTGACCTTGGAACGTATGGCAAAAAATAGGATATGTGCACAAAAGTGCAATCTTACACACTAGTAACACAATAGTTTATTTCGATACGAGTGCGAAAAAGTGTTTTGTGATCTGTGGGATGTGTGTAGCACTTGCCGAACGCGAGGGCTACCTTCTTAATGACCAAAGAACACTTTTCTCACGAGCGTCGAACCCTATTTTTTATCACAATGTGATAAAAAAGTGTGTGTATGTTTCGTCAATGAAGAACTCTACAGAAATTTCATGTAACTTTGTCATTGTTAAAAACTTCAAGCTTTTTCACTTGAAATTTCAAGAGTCATTTTCTAACAGTGTAGTCGCGTTCTCAGAATCGACATTCTGTACACCCTCAGGTACACAACTGTAACGGAAGTCTACTGTTTTTTTTAATGGTTTTTTGCCATATGTATTAATTCAACTTGGATTATTTGTATTTTCAAGAAGAACCACAGGTTTGCTCTGTGGAATCAGATGAGTGGGAGAGTGTGCACACAGCGATTATGGAAAGTAAAATGGTAGGATAACTTGTTTCAGACAATGGATGTTGCAGGGCAGTGGTTCAAAGTGGATTCCTGAAAACAATGTTAAGAGAAAACGGGAAAAGTGCATATTAATGAAAATGGATTGAGTTAGCGGGAGAATGGGGCGAAGTGCGAGTTTGCGCAGCGGTTTTTCCACTACTATGTTTTGTCCTGCCGTTCCAGTCATCCGTTCTCCCCTATGTGAATATAGTATTTCATAAAAATTAAATTGCTGGATTGAGGGGAAAACATTATTTTGTTTTCAATGCAGAACCAAGGAATACTTAGTATCCTGGCGAACAGGGATTCTTGTGCAGATGACTTATCGAAAGTGTTGGAATAAGCGTGCAGAATGGCAATATCTTTCCTTATCTATTTTCCTTATCTCTTGCCAATAACGGGTGTATGTTTTGTATTTCTCCTTATCAGAGGAGGACCATTTTCTCATGTTTCTAAATTGAGTTATGAGAAAATCCAGAAAGAACGAACGACAAAGAAAGTCATCTTATAATTTTTTCACGATATTTTATGTTTATACTGAATATGTCCGAAGTCGGGGAAAAGATACGTGAAAATCGAGAAAATATGTATTCTCAGTTTGGCAAATGAAATTTTCCAGCATTTCTCTTCCATGTAAAAGGTATTGGAGTTGCGAAAAATCGCCGAATTCCGGTTGTTCATAACACTACATTGGACCATATGAGGGAAACGCCGCAGCGCATCGTTTTTCGTTAATTACCATTGAATGGATAACCGAAAAACCTAAAAAAATTTGTCATTGTCAATTCAAGTGTATAACATACTATAGTAGTTTTAAAACAACAAACGTCCCAAAATTCTAAAAGAAATAGTATTTTTCCGGCCTGCTGCGATGAGGTTTTTTACTTGTGTGTCGTTGGCGTCCGAGCCGAAGGCCAGGACTGGCCGACTACTCAAGTCAAAAAATCCCATCGCAGCAGCCCGGGACAAGATTTTTTTGTAATGATTTTCAAGTTTTCGAGGTTGGGAAGTGTGCAATACCAATTGCCAAACGAGCAATCGTGAAAAGCAGTAAAAAAATAAATTATTTCCAACAGAAGATTTTTTTCACCATGTTAAATGCAATAGCCCGTCCGCAACGTTGCCGGAAACTCGCTAAACGCGCCCGGGCACTGTAGAGTAAATTCGACAACGTTAAAGCCTAAATAACACGTCCCGAGTCGAATAATAGGACCTGACAAATTCTATTTCGGTCTTTCTNTCTACCTCTGGTTATGTCCCATTTCAGCACTTGTTAGGTGTAAGCAGAACTTGTATTCAGACTTTCCAAATCCTTGCCGGTCCCCGTAATTTTATGGGCCTATATTAAATCTGCGTTCATATCCCTGTTTACTCATGCGTTATTGAAATAAAAAATGCAATTATTATTTTTTTTTAATCTCAAAAATCGACATTTCACGGGAGGGTGGAGGGGAGATGCATGTATGCGGAGGCTTGACATTTTTACCCAACAAGCGGAGAAGGTTTCAGAATCTATTCTAGCCACTCTTGCCCCTCCACTTGCATGCATTGTGCAAATAAAAAATGAAAGTGTTAACAAATCTGACCCTTGTTCCAAGTAAAAACCGAAAATCTGACCCT